ACCACACGTACGTGCCGCCGCCGCTGCCGTCCGCCCGGTGGGGCGAGCGGGCTGGGCTTAGGCGCAAGTGCATGGTGTGAGGTTGGGTTGGGCTTGTCCGGCCCAATACTTATCTTTTTGGGCCAAAAATATTTGAATTTTATTTATTTTTTTTATTTTTGGTTTCAAAAATCAAAATAAATGGTCCAAATTTTTTCCCTTCACCCACACCCAAACAGTTCCTAACCCACCCAAATAGGTTTGAACCTGTTGAATCTTTCCCGAACAGATCTAGAACTGTCCAAACAGTTCAAACAGATTTTCTATCTGTTGAAATCTGTCCGAACAGTTGCCTATCTATTGGCACCTGTTCGAACAGCCACCAATCTGCTTATATAATGTCTGCTCCAGCAATTCATTTTGTATCCAAAAAAATTTCAGACTTCTTCCCTTTCTTCCTTTGTTGCTCCTGTATTTGTTTATGTATTTATTTTTAGGAAAAGAAAGAGGAAGAGTTACAGCATTGTTTGGTTCGCCAGACTTGATTTTATAGTGCTATAAAATCAAGTGTTAGTCGTTGCATCCTGGGAAGTAGACACCGGTTAAAACTCAAAGCACCGGAGCGAGGGCGAAATCTACTTTAAGGAGATTGTGTCCAACACAAGCCTCGACATTATTTTCTATAAGCATTTGATTCGGGAGATAATTTATATAATTATTTTCTGAATTATTTTATTTTATTGTTTATTTTATTTACACATATTTACACACACATCCTTTGTGGATATAACAAATTATTCATCATTTCATCAAATGATGAATTATCATTTGTAAATGGACTTAATTAATAAATATTGGTAATGTTATCCGAGTAATAAAATACGGGGCGTGACAGGTGGCAATAGTCTATAAGTAGTGTTTTTGACAGAAGTTTTAAAACTTACGCCTATGTGATAATGTTCTATAAACAATGTCTTTGTTATCCTTGAATGAAAGTGGTTTATAATAAATTTTGAATTGGAATTTTGAATTGTTTTATCTTGGTTGCAATTTTTAAATTCTTGCATTGCTTGCTTCAATTTGTAAGATGTGAATTTTGGTTTCAAATTTATTTTAAATTCATCCAAAATGTGATGTACTAAAGGCCATTATTATAAGTGAATACAAGAGCCAAAATGATTCAGACAAAGGGAATCTGATAACTTGATCACAAATGAACCATTGAACATTATTTGCAGCATTATTATTATTATTATTATTATTATTATTATTATTATTATTAACATGACATGCAAATGGTCAATAAAAACTTTTGGTAAATAGAGCAATTTCCTCAACCATATGCTTTGCAAACCAAATTCCATAAGATTTGATGCATAACAATATAAAGTTACATGACTCAATACAAAATCAAATGAATAAATTAGTTATCATATTAGTATTGAAACCCACTACATTTGTATTAAAGTCATAAAGTTACATATTGTTGAAGCATGTGATTCACAAAGTGGTACAATGATATAATGGTCTTTTCCAAGTGATCATAACAATCTCAAATAGAGTACAAAAGTAAGAAAATGTCCTTTTCTATTAACTTGGCCATAATACAATAACAACTCCATTACATCCATATAATTTTCCTCGCCCGAATATGCAATATGGGGCATTTTCTTGAGGACAATCCATCAGCATAAAAACAATAATCCAAGGAGTAACAGATTCCAGTTCACAGTGCTAACTAGAAATCACAATGTAGTCTTTGTCATAATACTGTTAACTGAATCACTTCCATGGACGACATTCCTATAATATAAGAAAGAAAGAGAAAGGAAAGAACTCCAAAAGGTTTCAAAACCACAAGCAAGAAGGTAATGAAATTGAAAACCATCTCGGATCCCATAACTGTACAGCTACTATTTCACTAGAAGTACACAAGGTAATAGTTTTGTTAAATGGATGGCATTCTCCAATCCTTGTTTCAAACCTATGTGAAAGCTCCTACATTTTACTCAAATTTTTAGCCAAATCAAAGAAGACACAAATGTTTATTCAAAAATTTTAATGTTATTTTGTGGCTCAAAAATGTAGCACTTAGACATTAGTGAAGTTTGTACTCAAATTTATACTAAAATCTAAGTTTATCAATTAAAGTGATTTATATCAAATAAAGTTTTTACTCAAATTTCAATCAAATTTTAATTAAGAGTTGGAGATGGCCACACTATTACTAGATCATAGGTCAAATAGGTTCATCACTCTAAACCACACTTCACTCTCACCATTCGGACACTCTTTTCTTAACCTCTAAACTTGCCCAGAATCATCAACCTTATAAAATTGAAGCATAACGAGCTTAACCTTCTTCTTGTGCTTAATCTTCTTGGGCTTTGCATATGTCTTCTTCTCTCTCTTCTTTGCTCCTCATTGAAATCGCAGAACCAAATGGAGAGTCAATTTTTTCTGAATGTTGTAAACAACTTTTTTAAATGTTGTAATCAGCTAGGATTCCACCGTCTTTGAAATGTTTTCAGGCGAAGATAGGATGAAAAACTTGCTCAGAATCCCTAAAATGGATGATGGACCCCACAGAGAAGGTGCCCTAGACATTCAAAACTCCTAGTTGGCTTTGTGTTTTATAAATAAATAAATTATATACGTGGCTCGCCACATAAGTCATCCACATAACTGGGTCTACAAATTCAGCCCCGAAAATGAATTTTTATATCATTTTCCTTCCTCATAATCTCATCATATGATATGATATGTGTAATGCCCCGAAGAAATAACACAATAAGGTCACGTTTGTTTGGCGGATTTGGTTGAATGGAATTGTTAGTAAAAGGATTGTTAGTGAAGATATTGTTAATATAGGGATTGTTATTAAGGGGATTAAGTAAAAGTGTGTTTGTTTTGATGATAGTATAAGAAATGATTAGTGATTGGATTGTTAAATTATTTTTATATAAAAGAAATAAATAAATTATTTCTATATTAAAAAAAATTGGAACAAATATTAAAAGAAACAGGTGGTAAATACAACTCAGGAAATCCTTAGGTTGCTGTCCACAAGTAGGCATAACAAGTACTATCAATCTCTACTTTATCGGTTGCTAACCGGAAGGCACGGGGTACCTCCTCCGCGCGTGTTTTAAGTCTTTCACCATGGACACACGGGCCAACTTAACCAATACCAACTACATCCCATATCCGGACTTACCAACGTATTTATCCCAAAACAAATCCAAAATGATCTTGTTTCACAAGCAATTTCCTTTCTCAAAACAATACTTTTCCAAAGCAAAATTCAAAATCAATTACAACAATGATAAAATAGAGTGGCAATGCAATAATGAAACAATACATTTATAAGTTCCATTTTTAATTCAACCACACAATCTTCCATTGTGATCAAATTTTCACATCTCTTATCAATATAACATCATAATATATTTTCAAGAGATAATATAACAACATCAACATATATGTATTCTCCGCATGTTAAATATCATTTTCTAAACATTGGTTTGTCAAAACAAATCAACAATAAGCTTCAAAGTCAACAATTTTCATTTCCTCCATGAAATTCCTCATTTAATATAACTATAGAAATTTCTCCATCATTTCTTCATATAACAATTTATCAATCTTAAATTTACAATATCTCAACATTTTTCCAAAATCCTCAAATTCTAGGGTTTCTACCAAAATAAGGTCTTTGTTCCATTTTTGAAAAGATTTTTTCGAAACAACACTCATACCTTAGAACATGGCTCATATTCTCAAAAGATTTGGAAAAAATTAAAGAAACTCCACTCATACAATCATCTAGGGTTCAACAATCCAAAATCATGATCCAAACATGAAGAAATACTCCTAATGAGCATAAACTTGCAAAAAATATATATATAACTCAAAAATTATCCCTACCTCAAGCTTGGTAAATGAAGAGGAATAAAACCCTAGAACTCAAAGTTAGTGAAAACTCGATCCAATTGGTTATAAATGTAACCCTCGTCGTCCTATTTGATTTGGTGAAAAAGCTCTATCACTTTCTTGAAGATTTGAGCTAAATCTTAAAGAGAAGTTTGGATTTGGATGTGTTTGTAGAAAGAAGGGAGAGAAAATATGAGTATAGAGAGAGAGAAAGAGAGAGACATGAAAATCTATGTTTATCACGTTTTTTGCATCAATTTTGAAGAAAAGAGCATGAAATTCGAGACAAACGCTCCAAAATCCATACGAGCGGTTGGAATTCCGCACAAGTGGATTTTTTTACATCCATGTGCGGTTTGCTCCAGAAAGGAACCCAGAAAATCTACCAAAACCCGCTCGAGCGAAACCCAAAATTCGCTCAAGCTGTTTTTTACCCAGAAAACTCTAAAAAACCCTATGAGGATCCACTTGAGCGATTGCCAAATCCATACGAGCAATTTTGTCCAGAAACACAGAATTTTAATTTTGCAACCCAAGACAAATTCTAATGGCCAAAAATCAAAATTTTCAACCCGAAAAAGTTACGAGAAGTTAAGTAAGAGTAGAAAGAAATCTCAACGACCCAATACAATAATAAAATATCGAAAGTAATGTACACTACTCTACTACATAATATTATTCAAATTTAAGACCCAAGACATCGCACTAGGGGGGAAAATCTAAGTAAACCAACAATCAAGCATCACCTAAGATCTTTCACGTAATAAGGCCTCATTTGGAAACAGATTTTTTTAATAACTTTTTGATTTTTTGGTTAAAATATGATAAAAAAATTAGTATGTTTATGATTATTTTTTAGTTTTTTATAAAAAAAAATGTGCAAAAGTAGAGAATTTTTTTTTTTAATTTTTTGATATAAATTTTTAATTTTTTAAATAAATTTTTAATTTTTAAACTAAAAAATAATGTTGAGGAACGAGTTTAAGATATTTTCATAACAACCTATCATCATATATCGCATAGGTATTTTCATAACAACCTATCATCATATATCGCATAGGATTAACCGAGATAAATACTACACCACCACCACACCGGCCTTCCCAAACAGTCCCCAATAATAAAATATCTCCCTCAACAAACAAAATAAACGTCTATCCGGTTCCGCGTTCGAACCTCATCTGAACGCGTTCTCTCTCTCTCTCTCTCTTTCTCTCTCTGATTTCGATTCGATTGTCGGTTCACTGGATCTCTTCAAATCGCGGTGGTGAATGCGTTTATGCTATTGTGATCTAGGGTTTCATTCGCTTTAAAGTTCTGATTTTTGTTTTTTTGTTTTTATGAGATTTAGGTTTTCTTCCAAACAAGATTCCTGGCGATACTTACCCAAAAAAAGATTCCTGGCGATTTCTGGTTTCGCTGTTTCGTATGAAAATTTTAGGGTTTGATTATTTGAATCGGTACTGAAGAAGAAGAAGAAAAAAAATCGGATTTTTTTTTTGTTTTTGCTTAAGGGGTTTCTTGAATTTTGAATTTTAGGGTTAGGCTAGGGTTTTGTTTAAAAAAAATGGTCAGTTCGGAGGGTTCGAGTGCTACGCCTTTGCCGCCACAATCGCCGAAGCAGTTCGGTGTTGCGAAGCCGTTATCTAAGGCAGGGCCTTCGGAGACTGATTTACAGAGAACTTTGGATTTGGAGAAGGTTTGTGTATTGTTTTTCTTTTTGGGTTTTTTGTGAAAGATTTTGGTTTTGTTTTTGTTTTTGTTTTTTTAGCTGAAATTTTTGTGTTTTGTATTCAAGTTTTTGGTTGATGTTGGGCTATACGAAAGCAAGGAAGAAGCTGCTAAGAGAGAAGCGGTTCTTGGTCGTATCAAGGAGGTAATTGCACTTTTAATGGGTCTACTTATATTTTATTGCTTGGAGTTTAGTCTTGTGATCAATTTACTTGAATAATCATGTTGAATTTGTTAATATTTGATTTTATGCGAACAGAAAATTTATACATGGAAAGCACAACTAGGCTTTATGATATGAACACTGGAATGGGTTGAAGTTTGTCAATTATACTATTTATGAACATATGAGATTGAGGTTTACCCTTTCTTTGCCGGGTAGGTGACCGAGTGGGCCTTTTACACAGTGTGGATCAGTTGGGTTTAGTGAATTTGACTTCATGTTGAAAACTTCTTCTGAAGGAAGAAAATAGTGAGTTTATTATGAATTGGGGATTAACTTGTTGACACCCTATTATGTTGTTAAATAGTTTTGATTGTTCAAAAGCATTAACATCAAAATTAACAGCAGTGGTTTCGAACTGAGATAAATAACCATACTTTTATTGGCATGTCAGCTAGGCTCAAGGTGTTATCTGATACTTTTATGGTTGGAATTCCAAACTGTTGGATATGGGGGTGAGGGGTTTACCTCAGTGTGAACGCTAGTGGGAACCAGATTCTGGAAGGCTGTGATCACAGTGGCAGTAGGAGGTTTGTCAAAGGTCATGGAAGTTGTTGATCAAGGGCATGTTGGATGTAATCAAACTGCATAGTTTCTAGTTTTCACATTGTTTATGGAGCAATTTTCCATCAATTGGTATTGGCGAATACATATTGATTGGTCAGATGACTCATCTCTGCGTTTAAAGAATTGGGCAACAAGTAAATATTATTGAACAAAATAGAATATTGAATAGGAAAAACAAATGAGATTAATGTGTAGTGTGATAAATTTATTGTTGATTGACTTTGGTAGTGTATGTTTCTCTTTTCTCTTTTACTAAGCAACGGATTACAATTAAATTTTTTGTTCTATATACTTTTGTAGTGGATATCTCATTTTGTTAGTTATCTGCTCTTTTACTCTTATGTTAACTCTAAACTATTGTTTTTGTTCTGGGCTATTTATGATGATGTACTCTTTTATTTATTTAGATTGTGAAAGATTGGGTGAAGCAACTTACTCGGCTGAGAGGGTACACTGATCAGATGGTGGAGGATGCAAATGTTGTTCTATTGACTTTTGGTTCTTATCGACTTGGTGTAAGCATATTTATGTTAGCTTTTGTCTCTTTGGGGTGTAAGTTTTTTTTATTTTTTAAAAAATAATTTTCTGGCTATCTGAGATTGCTATACAAACTGAGTAGAGGTCACATGAATTGCCTTGCAAGATTAAGGTTGAGAATTTTCAATTCAGTGCATATGCAGGATTTAGATGTTAGTGTTTAGCATTACAAATTTTTAACATGTTATTGTACAATTGGTGGCTAGGGTAAAAGTTGGTCTACCTTTTCTTCCGCCTAGTTTTGATCACAGTTGATTTAAGGTGAAGGCTTAAGAGGTTTCTTAGAAACCCACCCTTCCCATGCATGCTGCTTGAAGAAACAAAGAGACACAGAAAAATGGGTTAGGGGTGGGGGTGGGTTAAGAGGTTGATGGACAACCTGAGAGGTTTGGTAATTTACCTTTTTGGTTGACAGGAGTCTTACTTGTTTGGAACATGTAGGTTAAGGGAGTGCTCGTAAACTAGGGTGCAAGCCCTTGTAGAATAGCAATTTTCTTACTATAAGATTTTTTTAAAAATTTGACTGAAATTATAGATTGTGCCTGGTTTGATTCTTCCAGTCTTAAACTAACTCTTGTTCAATCTTATAAAGGGTAGTAGTGGTTAACTTAATGGTTATATGTATTGATGGCTGGATCAATTAGTGTTTCAATTACTAAGGTCTAAATTAGTTATGTCTGATTTTCTGTCTTGACTAAGCACTCAATAGTCTTTAGTAAATTTGGGCGTGGGAGATGGTGACAGTTGGTAAGTTTTTTCCATTAGATGTCCTAGTAAGGAATTTTAAACCAAATTTCTTCATTGTTCCCTTGCATATGTTTATTGTTCTTTTTCCTTCCGCCCCCCCAACCCATGGGTGGTTGATTTTAGTGCACACTCTACTAATCTTTTGTTCATCTGAAGATAAATTCACTCTGTTATTTGCTCGTTTACCTTCTGAAACATTATTGGACATCCTGTTTGCACATGTTTTTTGCATATCAGCATGCTGTTTTTTTTATAACTTTATTTATTTATTATGTGCTCCCCCCACAACAAAAACCACCCGTGGGCGATTTTAGTGCACACTCTACTAATCTTTTGTTCATCTGAAGATAAATTCACTCTGTTATTTGCTCGTTTACCTTCTGAAACATTATTGGACATCCTCTTTGCACATGTTTTTTGCATATCAGCATGCTGTTTTTTTTATAACTTTATTTATTTATTATGTGCTTTTAATCTGGTGGTCACACTGTATGCTCTGTTTGTTATTTATGATCATTTAGTGTAAGCTTGCTGTTCTGATAGGTACATGGTCCTGGAGCTGACATAGATACGTTATGTGTTGGGCCATCCTATGTGAATAGGGAGGTAAATTATGAATTTGGTGATTTCTATTAACGTGTTATGAAGTTGGATTGTATTACTTGTATCTTCATTTAATACTTTGTTGTCTTTATCAGGTAGATTTCTTCTTTATACTACATGACATTCTGGCTGAGATGGAAGAAGTTACAGAACTGCAACCAGTTCCAAATGCTCATGTGCCAGTTATGAAACTTAAGTTCAATGGAGTATCAATTGATCTTCTTTATGCAAGTATATCGCTTTTGGTTGTCCCAGAAGTAAGTGTTTAATCAAATTATGTTTAATGTGGTGGCCTTATATGTAGTAACTTTTGTTGATATTGTTAGCTTTTCTGGTTTGTTGGGGTGGCTCTTTATGCAAAGCAGGATTTCTTCTTTATAATTAAGGAAAATGGGTTGTGAATGTTTTGGTTTGTGATAGAATCTTAATTTTTTTGGTGAACTTCTCCGTGAGTGATATTTTGTTGAAACTTGTATTGTATATATATTTGGAGGTGAATATATGCTTGTGTCTGCAATTTCAAATTTGATATACGATGAGTGTGTGTGTCTGTGCCATTGCTTGTCCACATTCTAGTATTTCTTAGTCTGAACTGATGCAATTAAAGAGATGGACCCGATCCAATTGTAAAAGGAAGTAGATTAGAAATTTTGTTTTTCTTGCTCCTCATGTGCATTATATCTTCTAGCAGAACTGTGGTCTTGAGCTTAACTTACCCCCTGCAATTTGACACCTCAATGCATGTGATCAGTTGGTGAGAAGAATATCCTTTACAGTTAAAATCGATATGGAGGCAGGGGAAACTTTTTCAAATGTTTTCAATCCTTTGCCTGTCCAGATGCTTAGCCTTCTTTGTGCAAGGGATCTGCAACAGCCAGGGGGAAAAAAAAAAAAAAAAAAAAGAGTACGAACTGAATTTTATTGTCACACGTTTTAGATGCTTCTTGCATTCGCTTTACAGAACTGCGGCATGGAGCTGTGTATACAGTATGTGATGTGATGTGGTGGTGTATGCAATGGGGTTGTAATGAAGACAGTCCTTTGTTTCTTATGTTGAATTAGTATCTCACTTGTGTAGCATTATTTTCATAAATGCACACTTGCTAAGATGTAGCATAATTAGTATCTCTCTTGTTGAAACTTTGATAATGCTGACATTACTATGTTTATTCAAACTTTGCAATGCTATGGACTTCCTCTAGTTTTGAAGTTTGGTTTCCTGTTATGTAATGTGGTAATTATTACCTTGTGAACAGAACTTGGATATCTCTGATGTGTCTGTATTGTACAATGTGGATGAGCCAACTGTTCGGAGTCTCAATGGCTGTAGGGTGGCAGACCAGATTCTTAAGCTTGTGCCAAATTTTAAGGTAATAATCATGAATGCTAGTATGTTGTTTTGGGGGAAATATATTATCATTGATTTAGTCTTCTTAGCCCTTGTTAATGTCTAATCTGTTTCTGAATTTTAGCATTTTCACACAACACTCCGCTGTTTAAAGTTTTGGGCCAAAAGGCGTGGTGTTTATTCGAATGTAAGTGGCTTCTTCCTTCAGCATTATTTTCTTACCAATGGGTCCTACAGATAGTATTTTCTTCTCACCTTCTGCAGGTGACTGGTTTTCTTGGTGGTGTGAACTGGGCTCTCCTTGTAGCTCGGGTGTGTCAGCTTTATCCGAATGCAGTTCCCAGTATGCTGGTTTCACGATTTTTCAGGGTTTATACACAATGGCATTGGCCAAATCCTGTAATGCTTTGTGGAATAGAAGAAGTTGAACTTGGTTTTTCTGTGTGGGATCCTCGTAAAAATCCTCGTGACCGATTTCATCATATGCCAATTATAACACCTGCATTCCCTTGCATGAATTCTAGTTACAATGTCTCAGTAAGTACTCTCAGGGTCATGATGGAGCAATTCCAATTTGGTAACAAGATCTGTGAGGTGAGAAGGTGAACAATTCCCTTGAATTTAAGTGTAGTCTTATGGTGAGTGTTATTTTACTGATATCAGCTTTTTCCCTTGATCTTGCCTGTGTTAGGAGATAGAGCTGAATAAAGCCCAGTGGAGTGCTCTGTTTGAGCCATATTTGTTCTTTGAAAGCTATAAAAACTATCTGCAGGTTGACATAGTTGCTGCTGACACTGATGATTTGCGTTCTTGGAAAGGCTGGGTTGAATCCCGGCTAAGGCAGCTGACCCTGATGGTAATATCCATCCCTTTCGAACTGTTAATGGCGAGAGGGAGCTTCGGTTAACTTTTAAGTTGTGCTTCTCCAACTTATCCAAAAAAAAAAAAAAAGTGCTTCTCTATCTTCGTGGTGGTTGTAGAAGAGACGCAAAAGAAAGTGATTCCCCACCTATTTTTCTTTCTTATTTATGTTTATGATTCAAAATTTGCAGATAGAGTGGGCCACTTACGGGAAATTGCAGTGTCATCCATATCCGCATGACTATGTTGATTCTTCAAAGCAGTGCTCCCATTGTGCGTTTTTTATGGGTTTACAGAGGAAGCAAGGTGAGGTAATCCAAGAAGGTCAGCAATTTGATATTTGTGGTACAGTTGATAAGTTCAGGCGCACAGTTGATGAGTACATCTTTTGGAAGCCGGGGATGGAAATCTACGTCTCTCATGTTCGTAGAAAGCAAATTCCATCTTATGTATTTCCAGAAGGTTATAGACGATCCCGACAACCAAGGCTAATGAGTGAGCAGCATCCTGAAAAGCCATCTCAAGAAAATGGTGAAGTTCATAGGTCTGGATCTGGCGAAAGAGGCTTCAAGAGGAAAAGAGATTCTGAGGAAAGTCCAGAGAAACGGCAATCAATTAAAACCGAGAGGCGGGATTCAATTTCTCCTGACATTGTTAGTGATAGTTTTGCCAGTGCATCTAAGGACTCTATGGTATTGGGTTCTGTGAGAACAAAAGGAAGTTCAGATAATGGAACATGTGAAGTTGGCATGGCTGAAGTGGGTGAAAGTGGATCTACTAGGAGAGTGCTGCGGCAGATGGAAAGCAGTGAAGGGGCCAGCACAGATGGAGTTAAATCAGATAAAGAGATGTCATATTCAAGTGTCATCACAAACCTTGCCAGTGAGATCAACTCTTGCGAGGATGTTGGGCTTGAATCTGTTGCGGGTAACAGTGAGGGTAATGCAGGGAGTAACAACCAGGGATCTTCCCAGGGGGACTCTTGCGAGGCGGACTCGGAAGTGTTTGGCGGCAGAGTAATTCAGAATGGATTGTTGGAAGAGTTAGAGGTTTCGAATATAAGTTATTTTTTTACTTTACATTTTCCAGTTCATTTACTAATCTGTTTCGTTCAAGTTGGAAAATGGACCATGTGCACTCTTAACAACTTCATTCTTTGTTTGGGAGATTGTTTGTTTGGTATCGTTTTTGTTTTCTGTTTTGTTTTAAAAAACGGAAATCTAAAGTTTTCTAGAAACGCCCCTTTTTATTTAATACTTTCATTTTATTTTTGAATTTTCAAAAACTATTGTTGCACATTCGAACCATGCATTATTTTTGTTTTTGAAAACACAGCCGTTTTCTAATTTTGTTGGGTCACTTTTGTTTCTTGAAGCCAAATGCTGCACTTGGGATGGTACTGAAAGCCAAGGGTGGAGTTAATTCCCAATCTGTACTGAAGACGGTGACCAGGCATGTGTTCTGAAATTCTGAATAGTATTTATTGTAAGATATTTTTTTATGTCAATTTCGTTTTTATAGTGCTCTTTCTGGTTTTTTGTCTGTCTGTGTAGCAGGATGAGCCTGACATCAACAGCATGAAAGAGAAGTATGTATCAGTTGAATTCCTTGCTCTAAAACTAAAACCGTGTTTGCTCAGGAGAGACAGAAAGCCAGCAGTTCGGGGTAAGTACTATCTACATTGCTGGCTTTCATTTGTTACTTTTTTTTCCAGGCATGCTCGTGTGTGTTCAACTTTGTGGGGTGGCGACCAAGTCCAAAGAGCGCGGATGTGTACAGTTTTTAGTTGTTGCGTCTTTGCTGTGCTGCATAAGTAGTGAGCAAGCTTCCAATGCTCCTGGAGAAGATTTTGGATGCTTTTCTAGTAGGCTTAGCAGTCTCGGTAATGTTAGGTCATTTTACTTTTTGTCTCTGTGGATGTGGTAAACTGTCCTCGTGTCTTTTGAATGATTTTGACGGAGGACTTTGTATTATATAATATACAATACTAGGGAGTGGGGGAGTCTTAACTCAGATAGCAGAGTATTTGGGGGGAAGGGTTTTTCTAGTTTATTTCTTTGTTCTCGTTTTATCTTTTACTCTTGAACACTTTGCTGGCTTCTTGTAATGATATATTATATATGAAACTTCTCTCTCTCTCTCTCTCTCTCTCTCTCTCTCTCTCCACATGTTTTATTGGGCCAAAGAGGTTGATTTTGCTTTGTATGAAGCATATTTGAAATGATCCAGCTGATATTTCTAGTACGTCACATTGCATCAATTGCTTATGCTGGGTTTGGGTCTTTGATTTGGATATAGGGATTTGTGTAGAGAAAAGAAATAGAGGGGAAAAACAGAATATAAGCTAATAATTGTATTTCACATTTCTCTCCTGCATTTTCATTTATAAATTTGTACTTAAATTTATGATCCGAATATAGCCTTGAAAGTCTTGAAAGTATCAAGTTTCTACACACTTGGGCATGAATGTTGGCCACTCAAGTTGTAAATCGGTAAAGCAGATGTACTGAATCTGTGGTATTAGTGAATAATGTGATTGGGGTTTGAAGTACAATACGTCTGATTACAGTTGAACTTGATTGAGCATCAAACTTTTGATTGGCTGGTATTTTATTTTGGATAAATTACACCGTACCTTTGTTGTTTGGATATTTTTTTTCTATTTTGGTCTTTTTATGTTTTGGGTGTTTTTCAATTTACTCAAGGTAACTCATGTTAACTCATGTTAAAAATTAAAAAAAAAAAATTGATATATTAAGTCACGTTACATAAAAATATTTTTATTATATAATATTTACATTTTTGACATTTGAATCGTAATATAATAAAATTTTGTCGTATGTTAATTAATAATGTAATATATTTTTGTTTAATTTTGTATTTTGTATCCAAGCTTAAGGAGTAAATTAGAAGAAAAAAAAAAAATTGGAGTATGAAGGACTAAAATTTATAAATACAAAAAAAACTTCAAATGCCGAAGAATGGTGTAATTTACTCATTATGTTTAGCCGTGGGATAATCAAATCCCTCTAGATTGTTTATCCATTCTCATGTTTAAGTGGACTCAAAATTACAGAAAGAATGGAAAAATTTTATTAATTTTTTAATTATATTAAGTCACGTTACATAAAAATATTTTTATTATATAATATTTACATTTTTGACATTTGAATCGTAATATAATAAAATTTTGTCGTATGTTAATTAATAATGTAATATATTTTTGTTTAATTTTGTATTTTGTATCCAAGGAGTAAATTAGAAGAAAAAAAAAAATTGGAGTATGAAGGACTAAAATTTATAAATACAAAAAAACCTTCAAATGCCGAAGAATGGTGTAATTTACTCATTATGTTTGGCCGTGGGATAATCAAATCCCTGTAGATTGTTTATCCATTCTCATGTTTAAGTGGACTCAAAATTACAGAAAGAATGGAAAATTTTTATTAATTTTGTAATTTAACTAATTAATCTAAATTTTTTTTTTAGTACTCTAGTTTGTATCTCAGCTTGGAATTCTGATTAATCAATGCATTCACAATTGAGAATATACAAGAATTAAGTCTTGGTTCTTTTATTTTCCAATTTTCACTTCTCTGTATTTTCAACTTCAGGGCAAAAGAGATATCTACATAATTTGAAAAATAAAAAATTAAAAGAAGTTTTCACATCTAAAATATAAAAATAGCAAACAAAATTACTTTATTTCGGTTGCAACTTTCTATTTTCATATATATATATATATATTGGAACAATTCACCTCCATAGTCCACCTTAAGTGATTAATTCTACCTCACAACAAATAGAGGGCAAAAATAAGAACAAAAACTTATGCATCCACATAATTAGGTTTTTTTTTTTCCCTCCCATTTTCTTTCTAGACAAAATGCATAAGAAGAAAAATATTGAAAAGTTGAAGAAAAACAAGTCAATCCATCCTCCCAAATACAACAATTAGCTGGAAATATTTAACTACAAATGCCTCACTTTTCTTCCTGGCCTAGCCATAGAAAATATAATTGACAAACCAAAGTCTACTCCAAACTAACAGTGAAAATTCTTCAGATTCATTTCGAAGCAGCATCAAGTTGGATCTTTTCTTGCTTACTGCCAACTGAAAAAGCAAAAAATCCCCAATTTCAAAATTTTAAAAATGAAATAAAAAAAACACCAAACTCACAAGGGAAGTAAATAAGAAAACTCACAGCGCAATGTTGAGAGCTCAGAGCTTTTCAACACGCGGAGCCTTTTTACAGTGGATACAAACATGCTGCAAATGATATGTATAAGAAACCCAAATTAGGAGAAACACAAGCCAACCCAATGTGAAATATGGAATAAGGAAAAACCCAATTTCAAGGTCATGCGTGATCGAAAGCATCCAGAATTTGAAAGATGAGAATTAGATTCCATCACAACTCGTAAGGAATCTTAAGTTCGCGATTTGGGATAATAAACAAACCAAAATATAATCAGAACTTTGTTTTTTTAAGGGTAAGTGACCAGATATTGCAATATTGGGAAATAAAATAAACAAAGTTGTGACAGATCAGGGAATGAAGATGCTTACTGCCATGGGTCATCCCCAACAAGCATCCTGTCTCCTTCATTATCCTCATAAACAAGGGTATATTCACCACTTCCATCTAATAAACCGGTAATTGCTTTCTCTCCCTCATGCTTGTTCTGGATTCCTCCGGCAGAGGAATCTCTTTGAGCTAAACAAGATCAATAAAAAAGACAAATTTAAGGAGATATACCACCCTGTTAGAGTATATAATATATTAGTAGATAGTGAGCCTCACTTTCGGTGCCTCCCTTTCGGTGCCTTTAGGTGCTAGTGCTTCACTTTCCATCATGAGTCATCATTGTCCATTGTCTGTAAGGATTGTATTTTCTCCTATATAAGGAGCCCCTCACCATTTGTAATATACAACATAAAACATTAATCATAATACATACAATTTATGCTCTCTCTCTATCAATTTATCTTACATGGTATCAGAGCAAGGTTAATAACCTAGTCATTCTGCTTCACCGGCGGGGGGGGGGGTCGCCTTGGCTGCCCGCCGGACCTCTACACATACCCAGACTGTAACTTCATCTTCCTCTCTCTTACCTCTCGGCTCTCTCAGACCATGACAGCCATCTCTCTCTCTCTAGAGACCATACCATGACAGCCATCTCTCTCTCTCTCTAGAGACCACACCATGACTCACACATCTCTCTCTCTAGAGACCAAAGAACACACACCACTCAACAGAGGGAAATCACACACATATTCAGACATGCAACGCCACCTACAAAGGGGAGGGATCTCTCGACTTTCTCTCTTTCTCTCTTGATCTCTCTTCATGAGGACATTTTTCTTGAGGCACAAATTAACAACAGCAACTTTGAACCAACCACTGTCGCCACCATCATCCATCGTCCTTCTCCACATTTGCCACGTCGATGGTGCCGCCGCTGCCTGTCCTCAACCGCAAGACCCAGATGCAAATCCACCACCACCGCCGACCATGATCTGTAGCTCTCACGCACTGCTCGTCTGCTAACATTCTCTCTCTCGGTTTTGGGGTGTTGCTCTCTCCCCAAACCAATGACCAAACCCAGTTCTCTCACACTGAAAGAACACACACCCATCACCTCTCCCTCTCGGCATACACACACATATGCATGGCAACTCTCTCCCTCTCGGCAACTCTCTCTTCCGGAAAACACACCAGACACACACACCAAACCCAGCTCTCTTCTCTCTCTCTAAGACACACACAGCACACAATACTCACTCAGCCACCCACGACACTCACAGCAGCCCCACACACCCACGGGATTGACAGACACACATGCACTTTATGATGAAAATATTTTTTTTTTAATCAACCCACTCCCTCTCTCTCTGGTCCCTTTTTCTCTCCACCAGACCCACTTTAATCATATCCCTCATTTGCCTTAGATTTTCTTACATTTTGAACTTCACAATAACTTATACACAACCCTATGTAATTCACCACTTTCATTCTTTGCAGATTCTCAAACAATACAGGCAATAGCATAAAAACACAAACACAACTCATAATTTTATTCATTCAAAAACTTATACACAAGTTTATTACAGAAATTCCAAAGATAAAAAAAAAAAAAAAAAAAAACAACAACAACAACAAAACAACCACACCCACAGTGAGATTTTTCTTCTCTACTCTGCCGCCGGTCTCTTCTTCTTGCCTATGTCCTGGGCGGCTCTTGACGGTGTTGCCTCCGTGTTTCCCATGCCGCCGAGCACGTTCACTCCCCCCTGCTCCTCCACTGCAGCATATGGCGGACCTCCAAATCGGAACATAACGGTGGCCTTCCGCTTCAGCTCCTTATTTTCTGCCTTTAGCACACTTATCTTTGCTCGCGCATCCTTATACATGCGCTGGAGCAAAGCCAGTTGGGCGTTTAACTGCTGCACCTCATTTGTCCTACTCTGCAGCCGGTGCGACAAGTTTGTGACCGCGGTCATGGTCTCCACACATGACTTCAATGTATACTGATTGGCCTCAATATCAGTTTGCACCGCCATTTTTTGCTCCACAGACTGCATAGGAAAGTTCAACGGAGCAAAACCAGAGGCGCTTGGTTGAGGTTCAAGGGCCCCCGCACCGGTTATCTCTCTTGTTGACTCGTTGAGGTCGGGAAAGAGGGTGAGTAGACCACGGGAAGAGGAGGCCATGTTCTGGATAGCTGGACGGGAAGAAGAGGCCATGTTATGGGTTGTTGAGTGTTTCAGAGAAGGGTTGGTTACAGAGTGTTTCAGAATGCAAATGTTCAGAGGTTTCAGACTGGTTTGCACAGCCTCTGCCTCAACCTTGGTTTAAATAGCCAGGGCAGATATGCGCATCGCGCGCCACTTGACGCCAGACGACAAACTGGGAGCGCAAGCCAAGGCAGACACGGCATCGCGCGTCGCTCGACGCCACAGTGTCGGGCACGTCTTTTGAGGTATTGGACGCGCCTTTTGAGGGCGCGACTTTTGAGGGCTCGATATATATCCCTGTATATATATTTGGGCAGCCTATATACACCATCATCCAGTGTATTCTACAACGGTCCGACATGACCCCATAAACTGTCCCGACATTGATTCCGGTTAGCATCTCCAACGGTCCGGCATGACCTCGTAAACTGTCCCGACATTGATTCCGGTCAGTTTCTACACCGGTCCGGCATGACCTCGTAAACTGTCCAGACATTATCTGCTACAACGGTTCGATACGACCATACAGTGTCTTCTATACCAGTTCGACACGACCATACAGTGTCTTCACCAACGGTCTGACACGACCATACAGTGTCTACTATCCTCTTTTATTTATGTATTAGTTTATTTTCACATTTTGTTCCTTTCCAAACTCAAGTAGGTTTTTACCTATCCTCCTTGCGTTTGAGGGAGGCTGTTAGAGTATATAATATATTAGTAGATAGTGAGCCTCCCTTTCGGTGCCTTTAGGTGCTAGTGCTTCACTTTCCATCATGAGCCATCATTGTCCATTGTCTGTAAGGATTGTATTTTCTCCTATATAAGGAGCCCCTCACCATTTGTAATATACAACATAAAACATTAATCATAATACATATAATTTATGCTCTCTCTCTCTATCAATTTATCTTACATGAGACTGAGAAGCGCAGACACGAAAATGCAAAACGACACAAACACGCCATGCTTTCAAAAGGTGCAGGACAGTACACACGAGGTACACAAAATATATAATTTTTATTATGCATATTATATGTCATACATACAAATATATCATTGAGAAATAATTTAAAAAATGCAATATAATACTAATTTGTATAAATTTACATTAATTTTCTTTTATTATTGAATCCTAAATTTACATTAGTTTCATGTGTATCTAATTAAAGGGCACATGTGTTTAAGTGATGAGCACATGGACTAAAAAAATTACAATAATGATTGAGACCTCCTTTTTCCCAAGCATTTTTCTAAGACTAAACAACAATGATTGAGACCCCCTAAAGTGTTGGGCTTAGATGCACGAGGCGGAGAAGTGTGGACATAGTCATACATACAAATATATCATTGAGAAATAATTTAAAAAATGCAATATAATACTAATTTGTATAAATTTACATTAATTTTCTTTTATTATTGAATCCTAAATTTACATTAGTTTCATGTGTATCTAATTAAAGGGCACATGTGTTTAAGTGATGAGCACATGGACTAAAAAAATTACAATAATGATTGAGACCTCCTTTTTCCCAAGCATTTTTCTAGGACTAAACAACAATGATTGAGACCCCCTAAAGTGTTGGGCTTAGATGCACGAGGCAGAGAAGTGTGGACATATAGAAACTTTCAAGGTTGAGAGCACCTACAGGACTCTGTATAAATTTTATATATTAAATATGTAAAAATATTCTAAACAAATATTTTTATATACTTAGATGTAATATATGTGATAAAATAAGAATAAATATTAGAAATTGATATTAACTACAAATTGTCTTAGATATTATACAAATACAAAGAGTAGTAAAAACAAGTTGAGTTTTTTTTGAGATTTTTGATATTTGTATGTTTGAGAAGTTCAAACGTATTTAAGAGCAAGATTGAGCTTCTGAGGAAGAAACGTCAAAAGAGTTTCCTGCTACTAAGGTGTTGACAAGCAATCCTAAAAAAAAAAAAGTATTAAATGCAAAAAAATCTCTAAATAAACCAACCATATTAGGAGAATTTTTAGTTGAGTAATGTAAATGACCTGCAAGTAGGCCTCTGAAGAGCTCATCAACAGAAGAGGAGAGTTTTTCATAGCTATCATAAGCTTTAAGATCAACTTTCCTTCCAATAGGAACTCCATCCATATTGATCTTCACAAAGAAACCTTTTGGGAAACTTTCAACTGGTTTTTTTTCGCTTGGAACCTTGTCTGGGACCACATTTTGGGATTCTGGGATTGGCTTGGACGAACTGCTACTGGCAAGATTCTTCCTGAATGAACGAATCGGAGGCCACCCCACCACTGAAGCAGGAGCAGTTCTGTTTTGAAATGTTTTTTGGGGGGACAACAATTAGTCACAAACAACATAAAAAACACAAATCAAATTGTTTTCTACATTAGAGGAAACAAAAACAGAAGAGAAAAATGTAATTTTAAAGTGAGAACGAAAGCAATACATACCAGAATGTTTCACAAATTTATGTGTGAATGGGACCTCAGTAACAAGATTAACATAAAGAAAGTTGAAAATATAGCATTCAAGATAGACAGACAAGGTTTTCAATGACAGCGGCAAGTAACAAGATTTTGTACTATCAATACTGATATTCATACTATCCAATATTCACAGTGTATACGCTGGCACTCAAAATTTCAAAATATGCAGTAAAAATGGGGGAGACATGCAAAATATATAAATTTTATATATTTTTACCAAATGTCGTATATATATGTGAATATTTAAGCGAAAAAGTTTTTTTTTTTTTTTTTTTACAGCGGAAGAGAATATAAATTTACATAATTTTGATTTTATCATTGGATTTTAAATTATTTTGTTCAAATTTGTAATGTGTTTCATATGCGTCTATGTCTTGGGAAGTAGTGTATTGTAATGTTGTGTCGGTGTTGGGCAAAACATATTACTTTCTTAAAAGTGTTTAGAATAAACCGAGTTTTGTAACAAAAACAAAATGCCATTGCTAAATACTCGGCTTAAATGAGATTCGTGATTTGTTGGTGATTGTGTATGTCATATGTATTACAAAATCCAAATTCGTCTTTAATCGAGATTTAGTACAATAATCTGGAATCGCTAGTAATTGCTAGTTAGCCTCACGACATTGAATTTGTCTTCCATTCCAAAAATATCTGCAATTAAGTAAATAGCACCATGAATGAATGGATCAAATAGACTTGAAATATGGAGAGGAAGAAAAAAAATGTACAAGTCATGTTTTATCTGAAAAATCTTTAGGTATCAATATATTAGACTCCTGTGATTCGTGAAATAGTATCTCTCCCACTCCTGTACATAAGGTGAAAATTTATTAAATATTCTAGAATAACACATTATTATCTATGTGGTAAATGAGAGACTGCAACAACCACTAATGGCTCGGTTGGGAACAATCTTTTTCGGTGACTTTCTGATTAAGATAAGAGATAAAAATATATATTTGAGAATAACATTTTTTATGAATTAAAATTTTTTTGACCCAAAAAAAAGGTAAAGTGGATGGAAAAGTATAACAACTCAGATTTTTAATTTTTCTGTAGAATTTATATTAATATTATTTAATCTCAGTTCGAAAAATATATAATTTATTATATATTATTATGCGTAATTTTGTAAAATAATATAATTATTAAAAGTTTAGGGGTCAAAATATAAATAATAATAATATAGATAATATAAATAATAATAATAATGGGTGTGCTATTAAAATAAATAATTAATTTCTATTAGTATAAGATAAAGTGTAATTTAATTAAAAATTAAATTATTTATATAATTATATTAAAATATTAGGTTAAAAAGTAACTATCTTAAATATCTATTAACGATAAGAATGAATCAATATAATTAATTATGGAATCTGAGATGAGGGACACGCGTTGGCCGAATAATGCGTTCACCTCTCTATAAATGGAGAGAGGTGATCTGCAGATATGAAAGAAGAAAAGAAAGAAAAGGAAAGAAGAAAAGAAGAAAGGAAAGGAAAGAAAAGAAAAGAAAAAAGAAAAGAGAGGAGAGAAAGAAAGGAAATATAATGGAAGTCGAAAGGGTGATGAGTTATATTATACCTTGAGTTATTAAAATGTATTTTACATATGTTTTGACTTACCAAAATCTGTTTTATATAAGTTATGTTTTTAATAAAAGTTATGTTTTTAATAAAAGTTATGTTTTATAAAGATTTTAGTTACGTGGTTTTATTTCTGAACCCTATTTGCTAAAGTGAAACCCATAGATATGTCTGTTCTACTTTAAAAGAATATTTGGTTATGACCTTATAAATAATTATGTTTTGTAAGTACCATCACGGGAGTCCCACGCCTTGGGGGACTTAAATAACCATTGGCTTCTGTTTGACCACTTTATGGTCCTCTGTTTGTCATGGATCCACTGACCTCTATTTTGTGCGGACCAAAGTGTTGTGCGGAACTAAGTACTACACTATTGTGGGAGCCACCTCTAAAATCCGTACGAGCCACCTCTTGAATCCGTACCTCTGTTCTGTGCGGACCAAAGTGTTGTGCGGAGCTAAGTGCTACACTATTGTGGGAGCCACCTCTAAAATCCGTACGAGCCACCTCTTGAATCCGTACCTCTGTTCTGTGCGGACCAAAGTGTTGTGCGGAACTAAGTACTACACTATTGTGGGAGCCACCTCTAAAATCCTATAAATGTTTTGGCTACATAACTATCCATGGTTATTTCGTGCCCTTATACTCTTGGTATAATATTTCTCACTCTGCTATGTGCTTATAATTGTTTACTAATTTTCAGGAAACATGCAATTCTGAAATAGCTTATGGAAAGTCTTAGATGCGAGGCTGCAGAATAGACATACGTAACATTTTTTTATATGTAAATATCGGCCTTTTTGGTCAATACTTTTTGTAATAAAAATAGAAACTCCAATGATTATTTTGGTACCCATACTGAAATATTTCTTCCGCTTGCGTTTATTTATTTGTTTAAGAATTGGCCGTAGGTAACTTCAGTTACTGGCCATCACGATGCTTAACCCTTGGGTACGGGGAGCCAGTCGTGACAAATGGTATCAGAGCAATGGTTTTTTTTTTTTAAAAAAAAAAATCATCATTGGAGCATAGGACACGCACACATTTAAGAACTGGAATAACGGGTAGTTAGTACCAAATTATTATATTTTGTTCGTCGATCTAATTATATTATAATTTTATATGATTATATATTTATAATAAAATTTTTTTTAGTGTGCCTAAATTGTGAAGGATATTAGATATAATTTATATTTGTTACAGTAAAAGAAAGACAATAAAAGAAGGATGCCGGACTCAAGCACCAACTAAAATTATAATATAATTAAATACATGGAATTTTCAGTTCAGTATTCAAAAAAAAAATTATTTCGACTTTTTTAAAGTGGGTTCAAATTATAAAGATACTAATTTTGAAACTATTTCCCATCAATGAAAAGTTCATCTCAAATTTTTTAATTTTTACATATAATTCTGTCATTGTGTTCTCATTTTTATCGTAAACAAAACGTGTGAAAAGTTTTTAAAGTCGCTCTTTATTTATTATTTTGGCCCAAAACAATTTTTGACAACTAGACAGTGAGTTATTTTTCGTAAAGTTTTTTTTTGAGTTACTATTTTCTATCAGATTAATCATCTAACATATATTTATCAGAGTGCGCAGCGGATAACTTACATATGACAAATTTCGAGGACGAAATTTTAAAAGGAGGGAAGATTGTAACAACCCAAATTTTTAATTATTCTGCAGAATTTATACTAATATTATTTAATCTCAGTTCGAAAAACATATAATTTATTATATATTATTATGCGTAATTTTGTAAAATAATATAATTATTAAAAGTTTAGGGGTCAAAATATAAATAATAATAATATAGATAATATAAATAATAATAATAATGGGTGTGGTATTAAAATAAATAATTAATTTATGTTAGTATAAAATAAAGTATAATTTAATTAAAAATTAAATTATTTATATAATTATATTAAAATATTGAGTCAAAAGGTACTTATGTTAAATATCTATTAAGGATAAGAACCAACCTATATAATTAATAATGGAATCTGAGATGAGGGACACGCGTTGGCCGAATAATGCGTTCACCTCTCTATAAATAGAGAGAGGTGATATGCAGAAATGAAAGACGAAAAGAAAGAAAATGAAAGAAGAAAAGAAGAAAGGAAAGGAAAGAAAAGAAAAGAAAGAAGAAAAGAGAGGAGAGAAAGAAAGGAATATAATGGAAGTTGAAAGTGTTTTTGATAGTGAAAAGAATGAGTAAGGTATTAAAGTTAAGGTGAGTTATATTATACCTTGATTCATCAAAACATATTTTACATATGTTTTGACTTACCAAAATCTGTTTTATATAAGTTATGTTTTTAATAAAAGTTATATTTTATAAAGATTTCAGTTATGTGGTTTTATTTTTGAACCCTATTTGCTAAAGTGAAACCCATGTATATGTCTGTTCTACTTTAAAAGAATATTTGGCTATGACTTTATAAATAATTATGTTTTGTAAGTACCACCACGGGAGTCTCACGCCTTGGGGGACTTAAATAACCATTGGCTTCTGTTTGACCACTTTGTGGTCCTCTGTTTGTCATGGATCCACTGACCTCTGTTTTGTGCGGACCAAAGTGCTGTGCGGAACTAAGTACTACACTATTGTGGGAGCCACCTCTAGAATCCGTACAAGTCACCTCTTGAATCCGTACATCTGTTCTGTGCGAACCAAAGTGCTGTGCGGAGCTAAGTGCTACACTATTGTGGGAGCCACCTCTAGAATCCGTACGAGCCACCTCTTGAATCCGTACCTCTGTTCTGACTGTCACTTCTGTGACCTCTGTTCTATTCTGTTCTGTTCTGTACCGTGGTTATGGCTATTTACTTACATAATCTATGTATTTCAGTTCTGCTATTCAAATGATTTCTACTACTCAAATGATTTATTTATATAAATGTTTTGGCTACATAATTATCCATGGTTATTTCGTACTCTTATACTCTTGTATAATATTTCTCACTCTGCTATGTGCTTATAGTTATTTACCAATTTTCAGGAAACATGCAATTCTGAAATAGCTTCTGGAAAGTCTTAGATGCGAGACTGCGGAATAGACATACATAGCACTTTTTTATATGTAAATATCGGTATTTTTGGTCAATACTTTTTGTAATAAAAATAGAAGTTCCAATAATTATTTTGGTACCCTTACTGAAATATTTCTTCCGCTTGCATTTATTTATTTGTTTAAGAATTAGCCGTAGGTAATTTCAGTTACTGGCCATCACGATACTTAACCCTTGAGTACGGGGAGCGGGTCGTGACAAAAAGAATTTTTTTGACTTTTTTTTTAATGAATTAAACTCCTTTTTTTTTTTCTTTTTTTTTTTAACCTTTTATTATAAATTTTTTTGACTTTTAAGCCAAGACTAAGGGTTCTCAAAAGAGGAGTTACCCTTGGCAATTGACATTTTTAATTGACTGTTTTTTGTCTTTTTGACTATTTTAAAAATTTGTTTGGTTTGGACTTCTTTTTTTAAAAAAAATAATAAAATGATTATAATTTAAATATAAGATTTTTGTTTTATTGACTTATTTAGTTTATTTTATCTTTTATATCTTTTTAGTTAAAAAAAACTCTAGCCAAACAAACTCAAGTCACTTATGGCTCGTTTGGGAGTGGATTGGCCTTTTAACTTTTTTTTTTCGCTATTTTAACCTGGAGTTAAAAAATCTCATTTGAAAAAAGGTTTTAAATTTTTTTGATTTTTTTTTTAAAAAAATATGATAATTATGAATTAAATATGATATTTTATTTTTTGTAATTATTTTAACTAAAAAAAAAAACCAACAATGAAGCCTAATCATTCGTCTCTTAATTATTATTTTTTTAAAAAAAAGAGTACCCTTATTTGCTTTCGCTACATGATTTTTTTTTTTTGAACTGGCCCTCGTTTCGCTACATATAATTGGTTTAATCACAGATGGTGTTCTGAAAAATAATTAAAAATAAATAATAATTACAATAATTGCTGCAACTAATACCAGATGACATGTGGGTTGATTGGAGTTTTTCATCTAAAAAAGCCTCCCAACAAAATAAAAGAAAACAACTTGACAGAAAAAAACATCTTTGAAAAAAGAGATTATACTTTCACAAAAATACAAATTTTGAAGTGGGTGAAAATTAATCAAGTCTTGGTGTTAGGCCCAATGCAATACTCACTCCAAGGTGGAGCTAGGTCGGACCTCAGCCCTATGGCCAACACTTGCTCCGAAGCAAGACAATCATAGAAGTTCGGCCCAATGTACGAGCATCACTCAAAAGTGGGCCGGGCAACATGGTGGACCTTCCAGATGGACAGAACCACTCCGAAGTGGGTTGAGCAACATATTGGACCTCCTGGTTGGACAACCATTCTAAAGCAGACCAACTTAGAGAAGGCCAATTCACTAAAGATCTTTCTTGGGCCCACAAGAGACAAACAACCCTGCTCCTCCCCCTCTGTATGAACAGAACGTGGAGACATGGAGGCGCAGAGGGACAAGGTGCATATATGACAGACCTGCATCTGAATGGCAGGCGGAGTGGTCGTCCTCCTCCAATGAGAGATGTCCGCCATCGACTCAATGGGTTTGGAGATCACTGAGCTTCGCACCCAATTGATGAAGTTCATGACGACTCCCATGGAGCCAAGAAAGTCCTTTGGAGGACCATCACAAATAAGACATACTCCTCCTCATTCGCCACCTCACAAGGAGCACTCCAACCGTGGCCCTACTCGTAGAGAACGTAGCTGGCCGATTCCGGTACGTAGTGAAGAGGCCAACAGTAGGATGAATAACCTCCAAAAAAATAACCCATGAAAGGATTCTCATAAAAGGCAAATGACTGTCAGCCGCCTATCTGAAACCTTTCATTGCTGCCGTGATGAGCAACCACACGATTTGAGAAGTTAGCTGAACGATAACAGAGAAGAGGCACGACGGCTACGCAAGGAAGAAGAACATTGACGAAATAGGGAAGAGGAACACCAGCTCGACAGGGAAAGGGACCAGTTGGATCGATCCATACACCAACAAGAGCGTCACGCTCTAGACTGGTTGGTGTCCACCCTATTCTCCCTAGAGATAGAAGCTGTAGAACCTCCACGGAAGTATAGCCCGCCGAAATTCATTCTCTATGATGGGAAGACGGACCCTTTGACCCATATCAGCCATTATCGCCAGATGATGTCCCTCTGGAACCGCGACGACGCACTCATGTGCAAAGTCTTCCCCTCTAGCCTTGGAGAACTTGGCCTCCGATGGTTTGACAAACTCCCCAATGGCTCGATTTATGACTGGACGCAGCTCTCGGAGGCGTTCTTAGCCCGATTCGTCTCCAACAGCAGAGTCCCAAAGCAATTAGATACCTTGTTCAATATCCGAAAGGACAGGAAAGAGACCCTACGCCAGTACGCGCGACGGTATTGGGAGGAGTATGGTGACTTGGAGGAAAATGTTTGTAGTGAACAATTGGCCGTGCTATACTTCAAGCAAGGCCTACCCCCTTCGCACAAGTTAAGGCAGTCGTTGACAAAACGACCTGCCCCCACTATGAAGGATTTGAGGGCTCGAATAGAGCAACAAGCTCGTGTGGAAGATGACGCTGCTTCGGTACATGTTGCGGTTGCTGAAGAAGAAGTCAGACCGCCTCGACCACCTAAGACTGAGCAGCCAAGGAGGGATGAGCAGCGCAAGAACTATGGCCAAAGGAACCGCTCCACAGCGGAAAATGATGAGGAAAGGGCCAAGTCTTATGAAGGCATCACCACCGTCTTCAAAGAGCCAATATACAGGCTCGTCGAGAAACTTAAAGGGGAAGCCTTCTTTGTTTGGCCAGCTAAGATGCCTAGAGACCCTGCTCGGCGCAATCAAACACTGCGTTGCACCTATCATCGAGAGAAGGGACACAAGAAGCAAAATTACAGAGCTCTCAAACAACACTTGGAGGACTTAGTTACGGCAGGACACCTCCAACAATGGATAAACGTTGATAAGACGAGGGAAAAGCAGGGACTAGACCAAGCCCCTCCTGAAGAGAACCATGCCCCGAGGTTGGTCATCAACGTTATCCATGGAATGACTGACCCCGAAAGAGAAAACACAATTCGAGGAGAAATCCAACGAGCCACCCACATTCAACAGGTAATGTCGGTAGGACCTCCTCCTAAAAAGTCCAAGACAGAAGCCAAACCTTCTCGGTTTAACGTCGTGTTCACTGAAAAGGACCTAGAGAGAATCCAGTACCCCCACACCGATGCCCTCATCGTTACAGTTGGTGTGGCCAACAAGTTCGATGTGAAGCGAGTCTTGATTGACCAAGGAAGTGCCGCAGACATCATGTATTATGAACTTTTCAAGAAGCTCGGCCTCAATGAGCAACACCTGCCACCTGCCACCTCCCCTTTAGTTGGCTTTAACTCGCAAACAGAATGGTCGCTCGGCCGAATAACTCTGTCTGTCATAGCTAAGTCCAAGGTGGTCTTTGTTGACTTTTTGGTGGTAAACACCCCATCTCCCTATAATGCCATCCTCGGCCGAACTTGGATTCACCAGATGGAGGCAGTTCCTTCCACCTATCACCAACTCGTTCGCTTTCCAACCAAGTATGGAGTAGAGGAGATTCGTGGAGACCAAATGGCAGCCAAACACTGCTTCATTGCCGCCATGAAAACCAAACAAGTTTGCGACCAAGTACAGATGGTGGAAGTACCTGACCAGCCAGTTTTGGAAGACGTCGGCGGAGTGCCGACCGAGAAGATGGTAGAGGACCTAGAGACGGTCTTGGTAGAAGAAGGAAACCCAGACAAGTTCTTCCTGCTCGGCACTTCCCTCATTGTTGGAGAGAAAGAGCAATTACTGGCTCTACTCTGTAAAAACATCGAAGTGTTCGCCTGGTCGGCCTATGACACTCCTGGGTTGGACCCCAACTATGCTTGTCATCGACTCAACGTCCAATTAAGAGCGCGGCCGGTTATTCAGAAGAGTAGACGATCATCCGCGCAACACACCAATGCAGTGATCGAAGAGGTGGACAAACTTTTGGCTGCTGGAGTCATTCGAGAAGTGCAGTACCCAAAGTGGCTGTCCAACACCGTCGTGGTGAAAAAGAAGAATGGAAAATGGAGAGTCTGCGTTGATTTCACTAGCCTTAACAAAGCTTGCCCCAAGGATAGTTTCCCCCTTCCACAAATAGATCAACTTGTTGACGCAACGGCTGGACATGAGCGCATCAGCATTTTAGACGCTTATAGTGGCTACCACCAGATCCCTATGTTCGGTCCTGACCAGGAGAAAACGACTTTCATCATCCCTAAAGGCATTTACTGCTACAAAGTGATGCCCTTCGGCTTGAAAAACGTTGGTGCGACCTACCAGCGAATGGTCACCAAAATGTTCAAGGACCAGCTTGGTAAAACCATGGAAGCATACATTGATGACATGGTCGTCAAAAGCAAGTTGGCCGCGCACCATCTAAGGACCTTGAGTAAGTGTTTGGAATTCTAAAAACTCACAAGCTTCGATTGAACGCCTCAAAATGTGTCTTTGGAGTAGGATCAGGGAAGTTCTTGGGGTATATGGTGACTAAGCGGGGCATTGAAGCCAACCCCGACCAAATCAAAGCCCTCCAAGACCTTGAAGCACCTACAAAGGCTAAAGAACTCCAGAAACTCGCTGGTATGGCTGCAGCACTTAACCGTGTCATCAGTCCTCTGATCAGATGAAGCCCTTCTTCCAACTTCTAAGGAAGAAAACCAGTTTTGAGTGGGGAAGTCAGTGCTCCGAAGCGCTAGAAGATTTGAAGAAGTATTTGTCCTCTCCTCCCCTTCTATCAACACCTATCGCCAACGAAGAGCTTTTCCTTTACTTGGTTGTTTCTAATCATGCTGTTAGTGCAGTGCTAGTTAGAGAGGATGGGAAGGAGCAAAAACCAGTGTATTATGTTAGCAAGACACTCCTAGATGCCGAAACTAGATACTTGCCATTGGAGAAATTGGCATATGCACTATTAATTGCCTCTAGGAAGCTTGTTCACTACTTTCAAGGACATATCATCAACGTCCTCACTGAATTCCCCCTCAAGTCGGTGTTCAGTCGAGCAGATTTCTCAGGCCGAACAGCAAAGTGGGCGGTGGAGCTTGGAGAGTTTGATATCAAGTTCCAATCTCGAACAGCAATCAAAGCTCAAGTTCTGGCAGACTTTGTTGCAGAATTCACCCCGGGACCGGCTGTCCCCTCCGAAGGGGGCTCTGCTTTGGTCACTATGACTGCCCAGTATAAAGGGCAATCCCCAGCCGAAGCATGGAAACTTTTTGTTGGAGACGTATGGAAGCTGTTTGTGGACTGTTCTTCTAACCAAAAAGGCTCTGGGGCAGGAGTTGTCCTTATTTCTCCTGAAGGATTCATGTGGGAGCAAGCCATTCGGTTGGGCTGGAAAGCTTCTAATAATGAAGCAGAGTATGAAGCTCTACTAGCCGGCTTGCGAAGTGCCGAACACTTCAACGCGGAGGAGCTACTCGTCTTTAGTGACTCCCAATTAGTGGTCAACCAACTCTCTGGAGTTTACGAGGCTCGCGATGAATGGATGGCCACTTATGCAGAACAGGCCAAAAATTGGATCAGAAAGTTCCAAGCCATCAGAGTCGAGAAGATTGGCCGAGAGGGAAATGGTCATGCTGATGCTTTAGCTTGCCTAGGTTCCTCGGTCGACTCCAGAGACGCCCGCAAAATATGGGTGGAATATGTACCCTAACCAAGTATTCAACTAGTCGAAATGGTCCTCTGCACAGATTTGGGCCCAAGTTGGATGGACCCACTCCTGGCCTTCTTGAAGAATGGCACCCTTCCTGAGGACAAAAAAGAAGCGCACAGGACAAGGCATAGAGCTGCTCGATTTTGGGTCTCCCCATCTGGTAAGCTTTACAAGAAGTCCTACATGGGCCCTTATCTACTCTGTGTTCATCCAAGTCTGGTGGAAGATGTGCTTTATGAGATCCATGATGGAATCTGTGAGAGCCACACTGGTGGTTGGTCCTTGGCACACCAAGCCCTAACACACGGGTATTGGTGGCCGCGCATGCAAAAGGAGGCCCAACAGTATGTCCGCAAGTGCGACAAATGCCAAAAGTTTGCTCCTCTCATTCACCAGCCAACCAAAGCTCTAACCCCCCTCACCAGTCCTTGGTCATTCGCTCAGTGGGGCTTAGACATTGTTGGACCATTAGCTAGGGGAACTAGGAATAAAAGGTTTTTCATCGCTGCAACTGACTACTTCACCAAGTGGGTGGAGGTGGAGTCCTTATGCAAAATCAAAGAAGCAGACACTAAGAGGTTTGTTTGGCGCAATGTTGTGACTCGATTTGGCATTCCCAGAGTCCTTCCCTCTGACAACGGTACACAATTTGATGGCAAGATCTTCAGAAGATTTTGCGCTGACTTGAAGATAGAGTTCCAAAACTCCACTCCGGCCTACCCACAAGGCAATAGCCGAGCTAAAGTGTCCAATAAGACGATCATTGATGGGCTAAAAAAGCGTCTTGAAAAAGCCAAAGGCAAATGGGTGGAGGAGATACCGAATGTCCTCTGGGCTTACCAAACTACTCCTCGTCGGTCAACCAGTGAGACACCTTACTCTCTTACCTATGGGATAGAAGCAGTCATCCCTTTAGAGGTTGGCCTTCCTACCATCCGTTTTGAGATCTTTGAGCCAGCAGACAATGATGAAGCCATCGCCCAAGCTCTGGACATGGCCGAAGAACGTAGGGAAGCTGCCCTTATTCGGTTGGCGGCCTACCAGTAGCACCTCACTAAGAGCTTCAACAAGAATGTGCGTCCAAGGAAATTCCTACCAGGTGACTTGGTACTTAGGAAGGTAATGGATCACAAGAAAGTTTCTGGGGAAAGGAAACTCGGTGCTAACTAGGAGGGGCCCTACAAGGTTACTTCAGCACTTGGCAATGGCGCATACTATCTGGCTGACTTATCAGGGAAGGCAATCCCTAGACCATGGAACGTCGCCAACCTAAAGAAGTACTTCCAGTGATATGATTCTTAGGATGAAGTACTTACAGTAATGTATTTCTCAGAACATGCCTTGATGTAATCAAAAGTTACAAGTATCAATGAATGAAAATTTGTTTTATAGTTTGTCCTTATTTACTTGTGTTGTACATTTATGTTTGGTGGAGCCAATTGGCCACGGGTCTTAACTCAAGCCAATCCCGGATGCTCAACCCTTTGGTTAGAGCAGGGTGCCAAGTGGTATAACTTGGTGGAATTTGTGCCAAGTATCATTACTTAAAGCACGGTCCAAATTCACAATTCGCGCTCGAAGACGGGCAGAATTACACTCTACGAAGGGTTAAATCACGCCAAAACTTGACCAAGTCAGGTGGCGGCCGACCAACATGATAAAAAACTTTCACAATTTTTTCTCTACGAAGGCATAAAGCATGGTCTGACCGAACAGACACCCTTCCGAGCCACAGAGCTCATGCTCGGCTGGGGGCATCAACAAACTCACTCAATTTTTTCTAAGGCACGAAGCCTGATCAGACCGAACAGACAGCCTGCTAGGCCATAGAGCCTCTGCTCGGCCGGGGGCAAACATGACATATAAGCAAAAATTGAAGATAAGCGGTTCAACACTTGCGAAAATAAAAGAACGAGTGCATTGAAGTGAAACTTCAATTACAAAAAAGAGTTCGGCCTTACAAAAGAAGAGGTCCACCCGACCGAACTCCAAGATAAATAAAAAAGTACAAGTTGCAAATTCAACACTTGGCAAATTTAGAAGGTACTTCATTACAAAAGGGAGCTCGGTTTGTATCATAGCTTATCCAACCGAACGCTAAAGCAAAACTTGAAGATACTTCATTAACTTCCAAGTTTCATTACAAAAGAACTACTAAAGTAGAAGTAAAAGCAAAACTCAAGGCAACCTAACAACTTACTCTTCGCGTTGCTCCTCCTCGTAGTGTCCATCCTTGCGATGCTCCTCTTCTGTAGGATTGACAGTCTGTCTAACCAAGGAAGAGCTCGGCAGGAAAGGAGAAAGGCCAGAAGGATCAACATCCGTAGCTCCACCTTGGCGAGGCCTTCTCATCCTAACCCTTGCAGCGGTCTTCGAAGGGACTGGGATATCGTCAATATCATAAAGAGGAGAAGCCTCTTCCACTTTAGCAGCACGCAGAGCCCCAGTCCAACCCTTAGTAAAGATCTTGTCCCTCAGCTTCAAAATCTCCTCTGAATAGGTCTTTTCGGCCTCGTCATAGCCCCTCTGTTCGGCCTCGTCCACCATCCTTTGATAATTAGCCTTTAAAGACTTCAAAGCAGCATCGGCATCTACGGCCCTCCGCTCGGCCATGAACATCAGTGCTTCGGCCTTCTTCTTTGCATCTTCCATCTTCTTTATATCCTCTCCGGCCGCCTTCAAGGACATATCAGCATCAGCCAACATGTTAATCGTCTTGATCCTCTCTTGCTCATCACGATGTCGTCTTTCATCCATGATGTGCATCCTCTGAATGCACTACACCAACCAAAATGTCATATTCTCAACAACCAAACTTAAAGAAATGACAAAGACATAAAAGAAGACTTACTGCGGTTAGCATCTGCACCGAACCCTTGATCAACACGTCGCTTGAAATGTTTTGCTCTGCCATATCCAAAGGTAACAGCAATGTCTTTGATAAGTCAAAGGCCAAGTCGCTTGAGTAGATTGTGCTGTCCGATGTAGTGATTGCTCGGCCGTTATGCTCCAAGGGAGGCACCCATTCTTCAACTTTCCAGGCGAACAGCAAAGTGGGGGTGGAGCTTGGAGAGTTTGATATCAAGTTCCAACTCTCGACAGCAATCAAAGCTCAAGTCTGGCAGACTTTGTTGCAGAATTCACCCCGGGACCGGCTGTCCCCTCCGAGGGAGCTCTGCTTTGGTCACTATGACTCCCAGCATAAAGGGCAATCCCCAGCCGAAGCATGGAAGCTTTTTGTTGGAGACGTATGGAAGCTGTTTGTGGACGGTTCTTCTAACCAAAAGGCTCTGGGCAGGAGTTGTCCTTATTTCTCCTGAAGGATTCATGTGGGAGCAAGCCAGTTCGGTTGGGCTGGAAAGCTTCTAATAATGAAGCAGAGTATGAAGCTCTACTAGCCGGCTGCGAAAGTGCCGAACACTTCAAAGCGGAGGAGCTACTCGTCTTAGTGGACTCCCAATTAGTGGTCAACCAACTCTCTGGAGTTTACGAGGCTCGCGATGAACGGATGGCCCACTATCAGAACAGGCCAAAATTTGATCAGAAAGTTCCAAGCCATCAGAGTCGAGAAGATGGCCGAGAGGGAAATGGTCATGCTGATGCTTTAGCTTGCCTAGGTTCCTCGGTCGACTCCAGAGAGCCCGCAAAATATGGTGGAATATGTACCCCAACCAAGTATCAACTAGTCGAAATGGTCCTCTGCATCAGATTGGGCCCAAGTTGGATGGACCCACTCCTGGCCTTCTTGAAGAATGGCACCCTCCTGAGGCACGAAAAAAAGAAGCGCACAGGACAAGGCTAGAGCTGCTCGATTTTGGGTTCCCCCTGGTAAGCCTTTACAAGAAGTCCTACATGGGCCTTATCTACTCTGTGTTCATCCAAGTCTGGTGGAAGATGTGCTTTATGAGATCCATGGACATCTGTGGAAGCCACACTGGTGGTTCGGTCCTTGGCACACCGCCCTAACATCACGGGTATGGTGGCCGGCGCATCGCAAAAGGAGGCCAACAGTATGTCCGCAAGTGCGACACAGTGCCAAAGAGTTGCTCCTCTCATTCACCAGCCAACAAAGCTCTAACCCCCCTCACCAGTCCTTGGCCATTCTTCAGTGGGGCTTAGACATTTTGGACCATTAGCTAGGGGAACTGGGAATAAAAGGTTTTTCATCGCTGCAACTGACTACTTCACCAAGTGGGTGGAGGTGAGTTAGGCCTTATGGCCAAGATCCAAAGAAAGCGAGCGCGGCCGGTTATTCAGAAGAGTAGACGATCATCCACGCAACACACCGATGCAGTGATCGAAGAGGTGGACAAACTTTTGGCTGCTGGAGTCATTCGAGAAGTGCAGTACCCAAAGTGGCTGTCCAACACCGTCGTGGTGAAAAAGAAGAATGGCAAATGGAGAGTCTGCGTTGATTTCACTAGCCTTAACAAAGCTTGCCCCAAGGATAGCTTCCCCCTTCCACGAATAGATCAACTTGTTGACGCAACGGCTGGACATGAGCGCATGAGCTTTCTAGACGCCTATAGTGGCTACCACCAGATTCCTATGTTCGGTCCTGACCAAGAGAAAACGGTTTTCATCAGTTCTAGAGGCACTACTTACTGCTACAAAGTGATGCCCTTCGGCTTGAAGAACGTTGGTGCGACCTACCAGCGAATGGTCACCAAAATGTTCAAGGACCAGCTCGGTAAAACCATGGAAGCATACATTGATGACATGGTCGTCAAAAGCAAGTTGGCCGCGCACCATCTAAGGGACCTTGAGCAAGTGTTTGGAATTCTGAAGACTCACAAGCTTCGATTGAACGCCTCAAAATGTGCCTTTGGAGTAGGATCAGGGAAGTTCTTGGGGTATATGGTGACTAGGCGGGGCATTGAAGCCAACCCCGACCAAATCAAAGCCCTCCAAGACCTTGAAGCACCTACAAAGGCTAAAGAACTCCAGAAACTCGCTGGTATGGCTGCAGCACTTAACCGTTTCATCAGTCGGTCCTCTGATCGGATGAAGCCCTTCTTCCAACTTCTAAGGAAGAAAACCAGTTTTGAGTAGGGAAGTTAGTGCTCCGAAGCGCTAGAAGATTTGAAGAAGTATGTGTCCTCTCCTCCCCTTCTATCAACACCTGTCGCCAACGAAGAGCTTTTCCTTTACTTGGCTGTTTCTGATCATGCTGTTAGTGCAGTGCTAGTCAGAGAGGATGGGAAGGAGCAGAAACCAGTGTATTATGTTAGCAAGACACTCCTAGATGCCGAAACTAGATACTTGCCATTGGAGAAATTGGCATATGCACTATTAATTGCCTCTAGGAAGCTTGTTCACTACTTTCAAGGACATATCATCAACGTCCTCACTGAATTCCCCCTCAAGTCGATGTTCAGTCGAGCAGAATAAGGACAACTCCTGCCCCAGAGCCTCTTTGGTTAGAAGAACCGTCCACAAACAGCTTCCATACGTCTCCAACAAAAAGCTTCCATGCTTCGGCTGGGGATTGCCCTTTATGCTGGGCAGTCATAGTGACCAAAGCAGAGCTCCCTTCGGAGGGGACAGCCGGTCCCGGGGTGAATTCTGCAACAAAGTCTGCCAGAACTTAAGCTTTGATTGTTGTTCGAGATTGAAACTTGATATCAAACTCTCCAAGCTCCACCACCCACTTTGCTGTTCGGCCTGAAGTTGTTTACTTTGGGTTTCCGTTGGATGACATGTTTGTAAGTTCGCACATAGTTAAGCAAATGCAAGGCCGACCGATCTTCATACCTTAGTGCAACTTTGATATCCCTCGGATGCTCTTTCTCCGGCCTCTTTTTTAGCTTCTTTGAACCTGCAAATACGAACAATAACACTTTAACAAAGAAAAAAGTCACAGGCGATAAGCGAATGGATAAAAGGAAACTAAAATAAAGAATGACCTGGGTGGCCGTTCTCTCGTGGAACCCGCTTCAATCGGCCCACCTCCTCGGCCGCAAACTCCCAATTACCTCCGACTTGAAGGAAATCAGAGCAATGCTTGTCATTATCAGGAAGTTCAGTAACGAGTTGGAGGTCCAACGACCGAACTTTGGCATAATAGGTTTTACCGCCTTTATTACGACACAAGGAGTAGCAATGAAGGATATCCCAAATACCCAAGTCCAAGTCTAAGAGGTCGTTCAAGACCGAGACACCGTTTATCACTCTAAATGTGTTCATTGATATTTGCATTGGTGTAAGTTCAAAATAAGAAAAGAATCGACACAACAAAGGGTTCAACGGAAACCTAACACCCCCCTCTACGATGGAGGCAATTGAGAAGGGCATTGTGGTGCTTGTACACGACCGATCCACGTCAACCGCCGCCAATGTCAATGTGACATCATTGGGAATGTTATATCTTCGGCGGAACTCATCCAATCCTGTCGAAGTGTCCACTAGGTTCCGAAACTTACCCATTGGAGGTGCGACGTTCCACCAAACAACTACACTAAGGATGACTTGCAAGGTTGGAGGTACAATGGCCGACCGAGCAACCGTGTGCCAAACGACTCTCAACGTTACACTTAACCAAAAAATTAATGGTGAAGGTGGAAAGGAAATACATGGGTTCTATGACTTACAGTGCCAAAATCAAGAGGTTGGAGGTACAATGGCCAACCGAGCAGTCGTGAACTAGACAACTCTTAATGTTACACTTAACCAAAACAGTAATGGTGAAAGTGGAAAAGAAATGCATGGATTCAATAACTTACAGTGCCGATAAAGGGTAACAAGATGCAATGGTAGCGAGGAGGTCCTGCTGTGATTACCGTTGAACTGGGAAAAACTGTCATAAAAGGAATAAGAAGCGACTCAATAATGGTGGAGCAACCAAAAATCAGTAAGAAAAGCTTATTAGAAGGAGAGAGTTCAAAAACTTACAAAATCAAAACCCAGTGAACAAGAGGCAATGAGATGCTCCCACTGGAGGAACAGCTTGAGATTGCTCACCAGATTAGAACGACTTGGTCACAGGTTATGTCAAACTTGAACGACCTAACTCTGGGCACAGTCTTCTTGTAAGCATGGATGGACATTCCAGATTCAGAACTGCAGCCAAGGAGCATAAAACAACTAAAGTGACTAGCCACATGTCGGTGGGCCTACGTCGTGTCGTATCTGATCAAATCTGAACATATTTGTTGTCAGATGGGCTCTTTGTCTGCCAGTTGGTGAAACCCGACTTGATATAACGGCGAGGATAATTTTTTGCTGCAAACAACGAAGCCGGAAGATGAAGTTAGAAGAAGAGAATGTTGGGTTTGTCTCCAGACTATGAAAATCTAATTCTCTAGAGTGAGAAAGTGAGGAGACCACGTTATTGGTGCAAGCTCCAACCTTTCTAAACAAAAGTTTAGGGTTTATAGAAAAGGACTAGAGGTCAAGCTCAGATTTTTAAAAATTGTTTTAAAGTTCCAACGAAGGAAAGCGTGAGAATAAAAACAAAGTCAGAGCTTTGTTCCAAAAATGGGTACTACTGCTCCTGGAGTCAAAAAGTGAGGCAGCAAGGAAATGGGAAAAATAGGCTTGGAATTCAGATTTCTAGAGTGAGAAAGTGTTAAATAAGGTGGGTTTGCTTGTTTTCATTAACAAATTTTGAAATGGGCTTGCCTTTATGTCATGTTGACAGCCCCCAAACTAGTCAAATGTGGACACGTGATGGCTCGACAGTCGGAGTAAGGACATTAGTCAGGGCCGAGCTTGAGGTCTGGTGGCAAGGCCAAGATCATGGACGACCGAGCTGCGATGCTCACGGACGAGTCGAAAGAAAAATTGTGAGTTGCAAAAAAAAAAAAAAAAAAAGAAGAAGAAGAAGAAAAGAGAAAAAAATATATAATTATAATAATAATAAAAAATCAATTTAAAAAAAAGAGAATAAATAAATAGATAAATAAATCACAGTGGAGGACTTACAAAATAGTGTCCACCGAAAATCAGTAAGAAAAGCTTATTAAAATGAGAGAGTTCAAAAACTTACAAAATCAAAATCCCGTGAACAAGAGGCAATGAGATGCTCCCACTGGAGGAACAGCTTGAGATTGCTCACCAGATTAGAACGACTCGGTCACAGGTTATGTCAAACTTGAATGACCTAACTCTGGGCACAATCTTCTTGTAAGCATGGATGGACATTCCAGATTCAGAACTGCAGCCAAGGAGCATGAAACAACTAAAGTGACTAGCCACATGTCGGTGGGCCTACGTTGTGTCGTATCTGATCAAATCCGAACATATTTGTTGTAAGATGGGCTCTTTGTTTGCCAGTTGGTGAAACCCGACTTGATATAACGGCGACGATAATTTTTTGCTGCAAACAACGAAGCCGGAAGATGAAGTTAGAAGAAGATAATGCTGGGTTTGTCTCCAGACTATGAAAATCTAATTCTCTAGAGTGAGAAAGTAAGGAGACCACATTGTTGGTGCAAGCTCCAACCTTTCTAAACAAAAGTTTGGGATTTATATAAAGAGGACTAGAGGCCAAGCTCAGATTTTTAAAATTGTTTTAAAGTTCCAACGAAGGAAAGCGTGAGAATAAAAACAAAGTCAGAGCTTTGTTCCAAAAATGGGTACTGCTGCTCCTGGAGTCAAAAAGTGAGGCAGCAAGGAAATGGGAAAAATAGGCCTAGAATTCAGATTTCTAGAGTGAGAAAGTGTTAAATAAGGTGGGTTTGCTTGTTTTCATTAACAAATTCTGAAATGGGCTTTGCCTTTATGTCATGTTGACAGCCCCCAAACTAGTCAAATGTGGACACGTGATGGCTCGAAAGTTGGAGTAAGGACATTAGTCAGGGC